CAACATAGAGTTGAATCTTGCCCTGTATAAACAATCTGACAATTTGGCTTTATAATTGTGGTATTTAGACCATTTATATGGAATGTGATTATTGATTTGATCAGGTTTAAATCTACCTTCTTGCTATTTGCTTGCTATTTGTCCCATGTATTGTTTGTTCCCTTTTCCCTCTTTTTCTGCCTTTTTTGGATTGGATATTTTGTGATTTCATTTTATCTCCTTCATTAGCTTAATTAGATACAACTATTTTTTAGCGGTTACTTTTGGGTTTATAGTGTACATCCTCAATCCCAAACCACTTTGAGTAATATTATACCACTTCACATAGAGTACGAATCTTACAACAGCAAGCTTCTCTTTCCTCCTTCACAACCTTTAGGCTATTATTGTCATGTGCTTAATTTCTATATATGTTATAAACACAGAATACTTATTGTTTTGCTTTAACCAATAAATTATCTTTTAAAGATACTTTTGAAATAAAAAAGTATTCAATGTTTTCTCACATAACTACTTTTCCAGAGTCCCTTTATTTCTTGGTGTAGATTAAAATTTCCATCTGGTGTCATTTTTCCTTCTGACTTGGGGACTTTCTTTAACATTTCTTGTAGATCAGGTCTGCCAGTGATGAATGTTTTCAACTTTTTATTTTGGAAAAAGTAATCATTTCTCCTCTGTTTTGAAATATATTTTCACAGGATACAGAATTCTGGGTTGACAGGTTTTTTCGTTATTTTTTTACCTTCTGTACTTTAATGATGTTATTCTACTGTCTTCTTGCTTGAAATATTTCCAATTAGAAGTCTGCTGTCATTCATTGTTCTTTTGTATATAATGTGTCTCTTTCTCTCCTACTTTTCAGATTTTCTCTTTATTACTGGTTTTAAGCAATTTAATCATTACATTCCTTGGTGCTTGATGTTTGTTGGTATTTTTGAATCCATGGTTTATGGTTGTATCAAATTTGGGAAATCATTGGTTATTTATTTAAATATTTTTATGCTCCTCTCCTCTTTGAGAGACTCTAACTACACATATGTTAGACTGCATAAAATTATCCCACAACGCATTGATGAGCTGTTCATTTTATATATATATATATAATTATATATATATTTCTGTATTTTATTTTAAATAGTTTCTATTGCTATGTCTTCAAATTTACTAGTTCTTTCTTCTGTGTTAATTCAAATCTGCTGTTAATGCCATCGAGTGTCATTTTTCATTGCAGACATTGTATTTTTTTTACATCTAGAAGTTTGATTTGGGTCTTTTCCCCCCTTTTTCTCTACTTAACAAGATCAGTCATTAACTCTAGTTTTCTAAGCATATGGAATATAGTTATTATAATTGTTTTAATGTCTTGTATACTAATTCTATCTTCTGTGCTATTTAGGGGTATGTTTCTTTCTTTCTTCTTTTTTTTTTTTTAGACGAAGTCTCGCCCTGTAGCCCAGGCTGGAGTGCAGTGGCGTGATTAACCTTCACTGGGTTCAAATGGAGGTTAAGCAATTCTGGGTTCAAGCAATTCTCCTGCATCAGCCTCCAGAATAGCTGGGATTACAGGCACGTGCCACTGCACCTGGCTAATTTTTTGTATTTTTAGTAGAGACAGGATTTCACCATGTTGTCCAGGCTGGTCTTGAACTCTTGACCTCAGGTAATCTGCTTGCCTCGGCCTCCCAAAGCGCTAGGATTACAGGCGTGAGCCACCACATCTGGCTGGGTATGTTTCTATTGCTTAATTTTTTTATCCTCATTATCGGTTGTATTTTCCTGTTTCTTTGCATGCCTAGTAGTTTTTTGTTGGATGTGAAACATTATGAACTTTACCTCGTGTGCTGACCATTTTAATATTCCTATAAATATTGTTAAACTTTGTTCTGGGGTGCAGTTAAGTTACTTGAAAAGTTTGAGTTGGCCGGGCGCCGTGGCTCAAGCCTGTAATCCCAGCACTTTGGGAGGCCGAGACGGGCGGATCACGAGGTCAGGAGATCGAGACCATCCTGGCTAACACGGTGAAACCCCGTCTCTACTAAAAAATACAAAAAACTAGCCGGGCGCGGTGGCAGGCGCCTGTAGTCCCAACTACTCGGGAGGCTGAGGCAGGAGAATGGCGTGAACCCGGGAGGCGGAGCTTGCAGTGAGCTGAGATCCGGCCACTGCACTCCAGTCTGGGTGGCAGAGCGAGACTCCGTCTCAAAAAAAACAAAAAAAAAAAGTTTGAGTTTTTGAGGCTCACTTTGCAGCGTTCTTAGGCAGGACCACTACGTTTCCTCCCACTGTTAAAGCAATGCCCTTTTCAGGAATCTACTTGATGCTTTGTGATTTATGAAGTTTTCCACTCTGGTTGATAGGGACGCAAACCACTCCAGGTCTTTGGAAACTGTTTCCTCTGCTCCTTTGGGATATTCTTTTCTTAAACCTAGGTAGTTTCCTCACATAAAAATACCGTTCAATATTCACCTGAAGGCTTGAAGAGGACTCTCTGCAGATCTTTGGAGCTCTCTCTCTGAGAAGCTCTCCTCTCCAGTTCTCTGCCCTGTGAACTCTAGTCACGTTGGACTCTCAGCCTCTCTGTTCTGTCTCCTCCACTCAGGGAGCTATAATAGCTTGGATGCTACTCCTTGTGCTGCAGCCTGGAAACTCTCCCCAGGTAGAAGCTGGCAAGTGTAGGGCTTACCTCATTAGTTTCTTGTCTCGGAGGAATTGCTGTTTTGTATTGCCTTATGTTCAGTGTCTGAAAACTGTTGTTTCATATATTTTATCTAGGTTTTCAGTTGCTTTAGGAGAGAGGGTGAATCGACTCCCTGTTATTTCTTCTGTCCAGAAGCCCTGTAACTACATTTTCACACTTAATTATCACAAGTATCTTGCATATTAGGTATGATTATCCCCATTTTATAGATGAGAAAAGTTGAGTCTTAGGGATTAAGTTGTACTAGAGTTGAGAGGTAGAGAATGCAACAGATAAAAAGATGGACTGTGTGGCCAATCAATCTGGGTTTAACTCTCAGATTTCCCACTTCTTAGTTATGTGACCTTGTGCAAATTAACCTCTCTGTGCCTCAGTTTCCCCACCTGTAAGAATTGAGCTGCTAATGATAGAAATGACCTATAGGATTGCTGGGGGAATTAAATGAGTAAATATATAACTGGCTCATAATTACTGTGTATTAGCTATTATTATCAGAGTGAGTAGTTAACAATCTTCAGCTGGGTGACAGGAACACCCATTTTGAACTCCAGCTCCATCACTATCATACTCCGGAAACTTGGCTATGTGTATCAGTCAGGTTTCAATTACAGAAACAGAACCACTAGGGGATTCTAACCTGAAACATACAGGAAAGGGAATTCTGGGAAACGTAGTTCAGCTCAGCCTAGTTGACACATTACAAAGACATCACACTATGCTACCTAGCTGCTCTGAGAGCCTATTTCCTCGTTGGTGAGATGGGACAGTAACACCCCTCTTTGGATTAAATGGGATAGAACACATGAAGCATTTGGGTCTGGCACAGCGAAGTGTTCAATAAATGGCTCTTAAATGGTTCTTAGCATAGCTGCTCAGGATCCCACAGATAATAACTGTCAGAGGAGTGATCTGAACTCACAGTTGTTGTCACTAATGCCTAATGCTCCTCCCACTGCACCCTGCCACCTCCTGTGCTGGGTCGAGAGTGTGGAAATGAGTAAGACAAGTCCCTGCTCACAGGATCCCATATTTCAGTAGGGGGTAAGCCAGGGACACAAATAGATAAAATATAGGTCAGGAAAAGGGGCAGACACCATGAATGGGGGATTTCTACAAGACTAGCTCTGAGCTGGATTCCCTATACAGGAGAAGGGAAGGATGCAAGGGTTGGGGGGGGGTTTGCTGCATAAGTCCTCTGTGCCAGGCTCTGTAGTAGGTTTATGTGATGATCACATTTAGTCTCCACAATTAAAGAATGAGCTAGATATTATTATCCCCGCAATACAGATAAGAGAACTGAGACCCTGAGAGATTAAGTCATTTGCCCTAGGTCACAGAGTGACCAAATGACAGAATCCCTGCATCCCAGGAGATGGCTAGAATGCAGTGGAAGCTGCAGCTCAGAGTCTGTGCCTGGGTCACTGCCAAAGAAGGGTACTCCCGCTGAGCTCAGAAGTCAGGGCTGGCTCTTTAGCCCCCTCCCGGGTCTGCCCCTTGCACCTGTGTGTGCCCATGGGCGGTGGGCGTGGTGGTGGCTGCAGTGCCGTGATGGTGGCAGCAGCGGCGGGCGGCAGCAGGGAGACAGTCACACCTCGCTGTTTTGTAAACTGTTTCTCACAGCTTGTTTGTTCCGGGTTAGGGCTGGAGCGGCACCGTATGGAAGTGTGACTCATTGTTTAATGTGGCAGCTCATTAGCAGAGCTTGTTGCTGCCTCTGATTTCTCTGCTCTTGCTAATTGGAGAGCCCAGTGGGGCTCTGGCTTCCCATGAAGAACCAACCCAGCTTCCCCAGGGCTCTAGCTGGCCCTTGCCCCTCTACGCTCCCTGAGGAGGCCACCCCATGCCTGTGGGCCCTGGGATCAGCCAGACTGGGTTCAAATCCCAGTTCATCCTGGCTGTGTAACCTGGGATAAAGCATTCCTCCTCTCTGAGCCTCAGTTTCCTTATCCACCTAATAATTGGGAAATAGTACCCACTTCCTCGGGGTAGGCGAGAGACACAGTAATCATATGTGTAAAGTCCCCTGGTATGTAATAGATGCTCAATAAGCAGTTTTGTAGTGTTATTATTATTAGGCTGAAATCTCAGAGAGACCCTCTGTTTGGCCTACCTGGGGCAGCCACCCAGCCTAGGGGTGCCCCAGAGGCTCAAGCTGTGAGGACCTTTTCCACTGCAGATAATCTAACACATTTCTTTCTTCTGTGCTTCACCCCTCCCAAGGCAAATCCGCCAAGGGGCCCCAAATGCCATTCCCTCCCTCTCTGTGCCCCCCGAAAAGGAAGCACAGCCTGGCTTTGGAGGGCCCTGGGCCTTCCTTAGAGTGGAAGTCTGCTCCCTGGAGCTCTGCCTTGAATCTCAGCTCTCCTCTTTGAAGCCACACAGAACACATCTGTCCCCAGTGTCCCGTGACTGTCCTTTGCTATTTGAAGACAGTGATCACATCCCCTCTCCATGTCTTCTCTCCAGGTGGAACATGTCCAGTTTCTTCAACTGTCCCTTACATGACATAGCTCATATGCCTGCTGGACCATACCAAGGGTGGTGCCCTTAGAGCTATGCAATACCGTGACCTCATTCTGAGTCCCTTCCCCACCCTCCTCAGGCTCTGAATCTACTCCTCTTTGCCTAGGTTCCTCCTGAGATGTGCAGTCTAGAATTCAGCTCAGTCCTCTGAACAGGCGAGGACAGCCCCATCTCCTACTACAAGACCTGTGCTGTCCAGTGATAATATAAGGTGAGCCACGTGTATAATTTTAAATTTTCTAGTGGCTGCCTTAATAAAAGGAGCTGGGCTTGGTGGCATGCGCCTATAATCCCAGTGCTTTGGGAGGCTGGGGTGGGAGGACTGCTGGCACGCAGTAGTTCAAGGCTGCAGTGAGCTATGATTGTTTCACTGAACTCCAGCCTGGGCAATGGGGTGAGATCCCATCTCAATAAACAAATAATCAGTAAGCATCCATCTTTTTTAAAAAGTAAAAAGAAGTCAGTAACATTAACTTAAAAATATTTTCATTTAGCCAAATACAGTCAAAATATTATTTCAGCATGTAATCAGGGTCAAAAATCATTTGTGAGATACTTGAAACCTTTTTTCCTACAAAATGTTCAAATCTGATGTGTTTTTATACTTAACAGAACATCTCACTTGGACTAGCCACGTTTCAAGTGCTCGGGGACTCCACGGAACTAGTGGCTCCAGTGCTGGGCAGTGCAATCCAGACTCTACGTTTGTTAACACGATCTGAACTGCTGTGGTGTTGCAGCCACGTCCCTCTGGTTCAGGAGGAACGGGTCATCAAGTGCCTAAGGGTTGGGGCCTCTGGGTGGCAGGCAGTCGGGATCCCAGTCTGGGTTTCATCACTAGTTCACTATGTATGTGATGTCGCTCTTCCTTTCCAGGCCTCAGCATCCTCATCTGACAAACACGAGGTGAGAAGAAGAAAGCAGCGCCTGCTCGGTACCAGGAACTCCCCGGGTCGCTCCCCATGTGCTGTTACATGTTTCTTGCAAAGCCCAGTGTTGTAGGTTTTCTCATCTCCGTTTCATTCCCACTTGACCCTGAGACTTCCTCCAGGGCCTTGTGGACTCACAGCTGGTATGTTGGTTGCTTCTGCCCTCCTGGCCACCATTGGATACCAGTGAGGCTCAATTTCAGGCACGCAGCCCTCAAACCTCTTCCCTTCCTTGTCGTGACTCCTTCACTAAGTCATAGACTAAGGACAACGATGGCAGTGTTTTGATACGTGTCTGCAGGTGGCGGGCTCCTGCTAGACGGAAACGCCTCTGCCTGCCCAGGTGTCTGGTCTGTCACTTGCAGAGCGGTCCCTTCATGGTGGTAGTCGTGAGGCCAGGTCCCAGCCCCTCCCTGTGTCTGGTACTGTCTGCTAGAAAGTATTAAAGTGAAACCCAGACATCACACTGCCCACAGCTTCCTCCCTCATTGGCTTCCTCCCCAGCTCCTCACATCCAGCTTACTTCTCCTTCCTGACCACAGGCACTCCTTCCCGTCCAAGAGCCACCTGTGTGACTTTGAGAAAATCACTTCACTTGATAGAATCTCCGTGTCCATGTGTGAAATAGAGGAGAATTCCATCTTCCTCCTGAGGTTGGTGACAGTGACAACTGAGACTGTGTGATATGTGATAGGTGACCGTGCCTGGCTCAGTACTTGGAGTAAATGTTAACTGTGACTGGATCTTTACCAGACATTTTAAGAACAACTTAGCCGGACTCTCCTAACCTGAACCCTCGCTGGGGCTCCTCTGTGAGCTCTGCATGGCTTTCCTCTCATCCCCCAGCCATCTGGGTCTTTCTGGACTAGTCAGGAAAGCTCCCCATGACTTCTGAACAGGGAGCTAATCGGCAGATGCCCGTTTCCTTCTAGGAAAAGCCACTGAATCGTGGTGCTGAAGGGGAGCCTGGTGGTCATGCCGGGGGTACCCTATCACCAAGACCAACCATCTTCGAAAATAAGACAGATGTGACTTCTACTGTGAATCTTTCTAAAGTACATTACATCCTTCCCTGTGTTTCCAAAAGGATGGCAATTGACCTGAATGTAACTTTTTCTTAGTAATTCAGGACCATCATTAGGGATCAATATTTTTATATTGAAATAGTAGAGAACACTAACCTTTGAGTGCCCATTGCATACTGGGTATCTTATGATGTCATCCAATTCTTATACAACCTGATATAAAGTTTGGATATGATCTCCTTTTTGCAGATGAGGAAACTGTCTCAGAGCTGCTTAGAGGCCTGCCAGGGTTTCACAATCTCAGGCAAAGAGGTTGAGCCCCTCTCCTCCTCTACATTGCCTTTCAAGAGCCTTGAGATTCCGTTTTGAGGGCCCCGGCTGACTCACAGTTCTTACGTGAGCTTTACAGGTTGGCCTCACTTGGCTGGGAGCTGGTAGTGTATACTTAGGGCAGTCACTGCCTCACTTTTTGGCCTGCACTGGCCTGAGAAAGTATGTACTGTAACATGTGCTTTTAGGCCTTTGATTTCTTGACCTGTCCATGACCTATGTGCTATTTACTAGTTCCTTCTTCTTTAACCACTCTCTTCCTGGTTCTCTTGAGTTCACCCTTTCTGAGCTCACTGGCTGCTCCTTCCCAGAAGCTTCTAGTCTGCCCTGGCTCTGTTCCCGCTAACATCTTGGTGTTCCTCAGCAGCCCCCTTTGGCTCTCTGTTCTTTTCATATTCTGCTCCAGCATCACCCCTGGGGTCTTCACCCCCCACCAGTCACGGTTTCACCACCTCTGTGCCAAAGACTTCCAAATTTACATCTCCTGTCCAGACCTTTGCCCAGGGTTCCAGACTGTGGCCTCATGACCACCACCATATCAACTGCCTGCCAAATGGACTTCTTCGCTGGCTGACCCACTGGCACACAAACTCAGCTCACTCCAACTGAATCCATCATCTTCCTCTGAAGCATCCACCCGTTCTTGTGATCTCTGTCTCATTAACCACCCCTCGCCTCTGCCCCATGCCTTATAATAATACGCACTAATATTTCTCAAGGGCTTATAAAATGCAGCCTCCATGCTAAGTGATTCCATGGCTCTCACTTAATCCTTCATCAATCCGGAGAGGTTGGCATTATTTGATTGTCATTCCCATTTCACAGATGAAAAGAGGGAAACAGAAGTTCCAGGCACATGGTAGGCACTTGGCAAGTGCTGGTTCTTTCTATGGCTTTTGGTTTCTCAACTATCTAAATTCATAAATTAAATCCACTATTCTCTTTTTTTTTCCAGGTCTATTTTTTTTAAATTTTTACTTTTGGTTCTGGGGTACCTGTGCGGGATGTGCAGGTTTGTTACATGGGTAAATGTGTGCCACAGTGGTCTGCTGCACCTATCTAGGTATGAAGCCTGCATTAGCTGTTCTTCCTGATGCTCTCCCTCCTCCAACCCACCCCCCTACAGGCTCCAGTGTGTGTTGTTCCCCTCCCTGTGTCCATGTGTTCTCATTGTTCAGCTCCCACTTTTAAGTGAGAACATGCAGTGTTTGGTTTTCTGTTCCTGTGTTAGTTTGCTGAGGATAATGACTTCTAGCTCCATCCATGTCCCTGCCAAGGAGATTATCTTATTCCCTTTTATGGCTGCATAGTATTCCATGGTGTATATGTACCACATTTTCTTTATCCAGTCTATCATTGATAGGCATTTGGGTTGATTCTATGTCTTTGCTATTGTAAATGGTGCTGCAATGAACATATGTGTGCATGCATCTTTGTAACAGAATGATTTCTATTCCTTTGGGCATATACCCCATAATGGGATTGCTGTGTCAATGGTATTTCTGGTCCTCGATCTCTGAGGAATCACCACACCACCTTCCACAATGGGTGAACTAATTTACGTTCCCACCAACCATACACGGCAGCTGTTCCTACCTGGGACGTCTCTAGGTGTCCAGCTTGCTCAGTCACTCTAGCTTGGCAAACGGATCACCCAGGCTGGCTTCTTGTTCTGACATACCTCATCCAAAGACCTTTCCCAGCTGAACTGAGACTCTGCTTCAGGAGGCAGCTGCTGTCGGTGAAGAGAGACAATGTGCAGAGGGTTACACAGGAACCCAGTTTTAAGCTGCAGCCCCTAAGCCTGCCCTTCCTCACTGCCACTCCTCCCTCAGGTGACACCCTCAGGCAGGTGCTTTCGAGGTGTTTTTTTCAGGTGGTGACCTGCTAGATGAAGACCCTTCTACCTGCCCAGGTGTCTGATCTGTCACTCCACAGCTGTCCCACCCTGATAGTGGTTGCCCCTCCCCTGTTATTATTACCACTATTGTCATTGTCATCCTCACGACAATCCTGTGAAGTAGGTTTTTTTGTTTTGTTTTGTTTTGTTTTTTGAGACAGAGTCTCGCTCTGTCACCCTGACTGGGGTGCAGTGGTGTGATCTTGGCTCACTGCAACCTCTGCCTCCTTGGTTCAAGTGATTCTTGTGCCTCAGCCTCCGGAGTAGCTGGGACTACAGGCACTCACCACCATGCTTGGCTGATTTATTTATTTATTTATTTATTTTGTATTTTTAGTAGAGACAGGGTTTCACCATGTTGGTCAGGCTCGTCTCAAACTCCTGACCTCAAGTGATCTGCCCGCCTCAGCCTCCCAAAGTGCTGGGATTATAGGCGTGAGCCACCGTGCCCAGCCGAAATAGATATTATCAATGCCACCTTATAGCTAAGACAATTAGGACTCAGAAAGGCAAAGTGACTTGGCCAGGGACACAGAGCTAGAGCTAGGATCTAAACCAGGCCTGTCAGACTCAGAGTATGTATGCTTTCCACATTTCAGGGTGTTCATTTGGTCAAGGAGAGTAAAGCTAAGTTGTTCTTAAACTGACTGTAAAATGTAGGCATCCAAATAATAATAATAATAAAGGCTTGTGAAGAAAAAGTCACAATGAACATTTAATCCTAAGACGAGCATTCTGCAGACACTGGGCAAGGCGTGTTCACACATAGTGCCTCACTTGTCACTCCCACCAGCCCTGTGAAGAAGGAGGAATTCTCCGTTATCCCAGACATGGAAATGGAGAGTCTGTCAAGTGCAGAGATTTGTTCAAAATCCCACAGGTGACGGGGATGCCCTGGGATTGAAAGGCGAGTCTTTGAGACTCCAAGCCCAGTGCTCACTCCTCCCATGAGACTGTGGTCAGAAATAAGGAGCTATGGCAAATAAAGATGAAGGGGGGAGCTTTCGGTGATGTGGTATCTGGAGTTTTACTTTATTATTTTTTAATTTTTTGTTGAAACAGGGTCTCTGTTGCCCAGGCTGAAGTGCAGTGGCACAATCATGGCTCACTGCAGCCTCGACCTTCTAGGCTCAGGTTATCCTCTCACTTCAGCCTCCTGAGTAGCTGGGACCACAAGTGTGTGCCACCATGCTCAGCTAATTTTTGTAAAGACAGGGTTTTGCTATGTTGCCCAGGCTGGTCTCAAACTCCTGAGCTCAAGCGATCCGCCTGCCTCAGCCTCCCAAAGCACTGAGATTACAGGTATAAGCCACTGTGCCCAGCCTGGAGTTTCACTTTAATATATCTAGTAGAGCACGAACAGGCACAAAAATCAACTTTTTTTAGTTAGGGAAACTGAGGCTTAGACAAGTACAGCTGGAAAGTAGAGATGCTGGTATTTGGCTTGCATCTGTCTGACTTTTAGGCCTTTGCTCTCTTCACCACTCTGCACTGTGGTTGCCAAAGTCACACACCTCCTCCTTCTGACAGTCTCTTCTCTAAGCCACAGCCTGAGGTCCACTGGGAACTCTGGGTCCTTTTCTCTCAGGTGGAAAAGATTTGAGCCTCTTTGCCTTACAACCCCTAATATGTCAGGCACTGTACTAGGTAATTTACAAGAGTTTATTCATTTAAGTCTCATAACAAACCTGTGAGGTAGAAACTACTATTATCTCCATTTTTATGATGAAGGATCTCAGGCCTGGAGAGGCCATATGATTAGAAGTGAGGGAATGGAATTTGCACTGGAGACTGACTCCAGACCAAGTTCTTAACTGCCGGGGCTGAGTGTAGATTTCCTTCTCTGAGGTATATCATGCATGAGACCTAAAGACCAGAGTCCAAAGCCCCAGCTACCCTGCCCCTATCCATGAATTCCCACCCCCTCCTAAAGACACCCCTCATACCCATCTTAACACCATGGATTAAGTCCTACTTCAGTTAGAGACTTCCTTTGGCCACTTTCGTATCCAATCCAACTCTCACAATTACCCTCAAGAGAGGCATTATTGCTTCCATTTTCCTGAGGAGGCAGTTGAGGCCCTAGGGTCTCACAGGGTGTGTGTCAAGCTCCGAAACCACCTGTGTCTCTCTCTAAGACTCATGCTCTCCCTACTCATCAGGCCCTCCCTGCTGGGGAGCCATGTGGGAGCCTGGGAAATCAGCTACTCCACATCATGATTCCTGAATTCTGCCCCTGCCCATGTGCCTGACCCCCTCCCCACACTGGGAGAAGGGGCAATGGCTCAGTGATGTCCAAGGCTCCCTCTTTATCTCAGAGCATTGGGTCCTGTCTTCCTGACTCCATCAGGGCCCAGCTCTGGCAGAGGACCAGCCTCCTGAGCACAGCGTTCACCTTCAGGCAGCTCTGGCCACCCCTGTGACTCCACAGGGGTCCCAAGTCACATCCCTTCTCAAGGGAGGCCAATTCCCCTGCCACTGATTTGTGTGGGACTCTGGGACCTTCTCCAAGGCCCTCCCCATCAGACTCCATGTCTTCCTATCCCTTGCACTCATCAGGCCTGTCCTGGGGCGGTGGAAGTCACAAGGCCAGGCTGCTGGACCACACACTTCACCAAGTCACTGGGCTTTTCACTGAGGCTCTGGTTGGAGCACTTATTCATTAATTAAAGTATTAACTCAAGTACATGCCTCCTCTAGCAACTCTTCTTTTTTCCTTCGCTATTTTTAAATTTATTATAAAAATATTCAACAATATAAAACCATTTAAAGTAAAAGGGGAGGCTTTCCCCAATCCCCAATATCACTCTTGATTGGAACTAACTACTCTTAACAGATTTGGGGAATCCTTCCAGAAATGTCTATATATGTGCATATATACATGCAAGTATAATGCACATGTGTAGTATTTTTTTTTTTTTTTTGAGACGGAGTCTCACGCTGTTGCCCAGGCTGGAGTGCAGTGGCGCAATCTCGGCTCACTGCAAGCTCCGCCTCCCGGGTTCCCGCCATTCTCCTGCCTCAGCCTCCTGAGTAGCTGGGACTACAGGCGCCCGCCACCGCGCCCGGCTAATTTTTTGTATTTTTAGTAGAGACGGGGTTTCACTGTGGTCTCGATCTCCTGACCTTGTGATCCGCCCGCCTCGGCCTCCCAAAGTGCTGGGATTACAGGCTTGAGCCACCGCGCCCGGCCACACATGTGTAGTATTTACAGACATGTAATCATATGACACATGGCACCTAGCATGCAATAGACACTGTGACTTTTCCTTCACTTCCTTTCTTCCTGAGTGTTGCGTTAGAACCACCTTTCTGTGTTAGTCCATAGAAGTCTACCTTATTACTTTTGAGGGCTGTGTAGTTTTTCTCTGTGTAATTGTGCCAATAGCACAATCTCCTTCAGATGACCTTCAGTGTTTTCCTATTACAACTATGGCTGTCACGTCTTGAGTTCCTATCATGTGCCTGTCACTACGGGAGGCCCTTTATGTACTCTTTTTTTTGAGACAGGGTCTCACTCTGTTGTCCAGCATGGAGTGTGCACTGGCTCACTGCATCCTTGACCTCCTAGGCTCAAGTGATCCTCCCACTTCAGCCTTCCAAGTAGCTGGGACCACAGGTGCGCACCACCAAGCCTGGCTAATTTTTGTATTTTTTTTGTAGAGACAGGGTTTTGCCATGTTGTCCAGGCTGGTCTCGAGCTCCTGAGCTCAAGGGATCCACCTGCTTCAGCTTCCCAAAGTGCTGGGATTCCAGGTGTGAGCCACTGTGCCTGGCCTACATACATTTTTTAATGGATATGGCATTCTTATTCTTGGACACTTCATGCCTAGCATATAATAGGTGCTCAGAAAATTACTGGAAGACCTAGCTCAAATGTTTCACCTCTGTGAAGCCTCTTATATTCCCTTTCCCTGTTCCTTCCCATCTCCCATTCAGGTCCTGCACTGGGCCTGACAGAGGAACGAGTGAGGCAAAGACCCTGGCTAGAGAAACTCACAGACTGTAAACAGGCCTGGAAACAGGTAATTACAACAGAGAGTGAGAATGAGAAGCATGCACCGGGAACATAGGAGGAATGACTGATACATTTGTGATGGTTTCTTGTATGTGTTAGCTTGACTGGGCCAAGGGGTGCCCAGATGAGATGTTATTTCTGGGTGTGTCTGTGAGGGTGTTTCCAGATGAGATTAGCCTCTGAGTTAGTGGACTCAGTAAAGTAGATTGAGCTCCCGAATGTAGGTGGGCATCATCCAAACTGTTGCAGGCCTGATTAGAACAAAGAGGTGGGAAGGAGAGGATTTGTCTCCTTCCCACCTGCCTGCTGCTTGAGCTGGGACATTGGTCTTCTCCTGCCCTTGGACTGGCATTTATACCAGCAGTTCCCCTGGTTCTCAGGCATTTGGGGTTGGGCTGGAAACAATACCACTGGCTCTCCTGGATCTCCAGCTTGCAAGAGCAGACTGTGGAACTTCTCAGCCTCCATAATTGTGTGAGCCAGTTTCCTCATTATCTATCTATCTATCTATCTATCTATCTATCTATCTATCTATCTATCTATCCATCCATCAATCAATGTCTGTCTAATCTATCTCCAATTGGCTCTGTTTCTCTGGAGAAACCTAAGTCATATCCAAAGTGATCCAAGGAGGCTTCTTAGAAGAGGTGACAGGCAAGCTGACTTTCAAAGGCATTTGTCAGGGATGCGAGGAAGCTGCCTGAGTTCTGTCTCACCCTATATGTGGATTGACTTCCTGTATCTGTGCTACTTTTCCCCTCATCATTTATGCCTCTACTTCCAAAAAAAAGCGGGGGGGGGGGGATTTGGGTAGATTCTGATTTTTATAAAATGACACATAAAATAAGAATACAACCATTAAGTAAGGAAAAGAAGTCAGAGCTTTGTAATCCAATGGGAAAAGAGAATGAACTACAAACTTACACTTAGAATAGTTCCTGTGGTTGATACAAGATTTAACTCTGTGCTTCCCAGCAGGCAAGAAGGTAGAATATCTGTACACATTGCAATGTGGGGACGGAGGGCCCATCCAGTGACATCAGGAGAGCGCTTGCTCGCCCACCCCCTCTCTATTGATTTGTTCACTGTGTTTATGGCTCCCTTGTGTGTTTGGCTGGTCAGTGTTTTGAATTGGTCTTTAATTATATCTCATTCAAATGACTAAGGCATATGGAGAGGTTGTCAAGCCAAAAGTTTATTATGCACCTATTATGTGCCACTCCTACTACTCTTCTCTGCAACATTAATAGAGGAAACTGAGGCTCAGAGGAGTTAAGTAAACCACTGATCAAGTTGGCCCAGGGGCCCACATCTCCTGACTCCAGCATAGGCTCTTTATGAGTTTGGATGGGTGAGATCTTTGGATGAGGTATCTCAGAACAAGGAGCCAGCCTGGGTGATCCGTTTGCCCAGCTAGAGTCACTGAGCAAGCTGGACACCTACAGATGCCACAGGTAGGAACAACTGCTATGTACTCTGGCTCAGCTTGAGAATAGTTGGTTTAATTTATGAATTTAGATGGTTGAAAAACCAAAAACCATAGAAAGAAGCAGCACTTGTCAAGTGCCTACTATGTGCCAGGAACTTCTGGTTCCCTTTTTTCATCTGTGAAATGGGGATGACAGTAAAATAATCTCCTGATTGATGAAGGATCAAGTGAGAGCCATGGAATTACTTAGCATGGAGGCTGTACTTAATATGTTCTTGAGAAATATTGTTATTTTATTTTGTCTCTTTTTTTTTTTTTTTTTTTTTTTGAGACAGAGTCTTGCTCTGTCACCCAGGCTGGAGTGCAATGGCACGATCTCAGCTCGCTGTAACCTCTGCCTTCCAGGTTCAAGTGATTCTCCTGCCTCAGCTTCCCAAGTAGCTGGGATTACAGGCGCCCACCACCACACCTGCCTAATTTTTGTATTTTTTACTAGAGACGGGGTTTCACCTAAAGTGCTGGGATTACGAGCTTGAGCCACGGCGCCTGGCCCACCTCAGCCTTCTGAGTAGCTAGGACCACAGGCGCGGGCCACCGTGTCCGGCTAATTTTTTGATTTTTTTGTAGAGACGTTGCCTGGGCTGGTCTGGAGTTCCTGGGCTCAAGTGATCCTGCCGCCTCGAGCTCCCAAAGTGCTGGGATTATAGGCGTGAGCATGTTGGCCAGGCTGGTCTCGAACTCCTGACCTCAAGTGATCCACCCACCTCAGCCTCCCAAAGTGCTGGGATTCTAGGCGTAAGCCACTGCATCCAGGCTGTCATTATTATTATTATTATCATCCTCACAATAGTCCTGTGCTGTTGCTGCCAATGCCAAGGCTGCCTTACTGCTAAGGAACTGAGGCTCAGGGAGATGAAATGTCCAAGGTCACCGAGTTACAGCCGGGTTTCTAACCCAAGCCTTTTGGGCTCAATTCCTGTATTCTCCATGTTAAGGGACAGAGGCCAGGAGATCTGGAGATAAAAACGAAGGTTCAGGAACAGCATGTTAGGCAGGTAGGCTTAGGATAAGCATGCATGGCATGAGGTCTTTCTACTGGGTGAGAGTGCCTCTGAATGGCAGCTGCAGGGAGAATGTGGGCAGCACACGTGGCTGGCCTGGGCCCTGCGGGGAAGAGCTGTGGTCATTGTGGTGGGTTCCAGATCAGGTCATGCCTAGCACCCAGAAGAGCAGCAGAGAAGTGACGGCAAAGCAGCCTGGGGCCGGAACCAGGTCCCAGGGTGGTCAGGCCAGCTGAGGGACCATCGGCTGGTTGATGAGAGTTTACAAAGGGTAGGATGACAGCATTGGTGGGGAACACATTTTTGGCTTGTCCTCACTTACTCTAACCCAAGTATTAAATTGCAGTCATTAAAAGTAGAAGTTGAGGGTGTGGGCTAAGCATGTTTCACACAACACAAAGGGGAGAAGAGGGCATGCCCCCTCCCTGCCACCCTGTCTGCTCCATTTGGCCTGGGAAGTCTGTGCCCCACTTATTTGGCATCACCCACCTGTGCAGGCAGCAACCAGGTGAGAGAAAGCAGCTGCAGCCATGAAAGTGTTGGCTTTGGGGCTGGAAAATCAGGGCTGAGGTTCTGGCTCTGTGACCTGGGGAAATTTATTTTACTTCTCTGAGCTTCTGCTGTCCCTTCTAAAATAATCCCAGGCTCTAGGGTTAATTTAGGATCAAGTGAGAGCCAGGGACTCATTTAGCATAAAGGGTGCACTTACTAAGTGCTTTGATACATTGTTTTCTTCATCATTGTCTTAGTCACTTGGGCTGCTATAACTGGGTAGCTTATAATCAACAGAAATGTGTCTGTCACCTTTCTGGAGCCTGGGAAGTCCAAGATCCAGGCACTGGCAGATTCAGTCTGGTGAGGGTCTGTATTCTAGTTCATAGACTTCAACTTTCTGCCACAACCTCACATGGCAGAAGGGGAAGGGGGTCTCTCTAGGGTCTCTTTATAAGGGCACAAATCCCATTCTGGATTAAGTCCAGCCCCATGACTTAATCACCACCCAAAGGCCCCACCTTCTAATACCATCATCTTTCGGGTAAGGATTTTAACATATTAATTTGGGGGGGGACTTAAACATTTTGACCATAGCAGTCATTATTATTATCATTCTCACAATGGCACTGTGAAGTTTCCTCAGGAGTCCTGCCTCAGTTTCCCCATCTGCAATGGGAATAGCTCTGGCTACTCCGGAGTGTGGCTCTCAGGATTAAATAAGAGGGAGCACACAACACAGTGCCTGGCACACAGGAGGCCTTTCCTCCCTCCCTTCCTCTGTCAGCCACTTCTGCAGGACTGGTGGTTCTAATTATCTTAATTCACCAGGAGGCGCCAGCCTCTCTACCAGGGTTCCCTGTGCGGGGGGACCCTGAGACCAAGAGTCAAGCTGAGGAGGTGGTGACGCTGGCCACACATCTAGAGGACACGGGGCAAGGCCAAACTGTCAGCCAGAGAAAGAAATATTTACAATTCTTCAGAGGCCACATGGCTCCTTCCCTACCTCATTATCTCCTCTCATTCTTGTACCTCCTCTGGGGGAGTGGGATAGATGTGATCTTCATTTTGCAGATGGGGAAACTGAGGTAAGTAATCATTCCATGGCCACACAGCGGATCCTTAATGGAGCTGGTACTAGCTACCTCCTTCCATAGTCACCTACCAGCGCTGGGGCTATGGCAGCGAAGGGGAGAGCAGTAAGTCTGGAGGGTCCTCACAGGCGGAGGCTCACTGACTTGGGAAAGTCCACTGCCTCCATGAGCTGGTGGGGATTGGGAGGGCCTGATGGGAGGAGAGAAGCTGGAAGGGGTAACTTTCTCCTAGAAAGCTCACTCCCTTTTCAGTGACTTCTTATAGTGACGGTTGTGTCTTTAGAGTTCCAAACTAGTGTTTTGCAAGGAGGTCTCAAGACTCTGTGAACATCACCCTCAGATGGAAGCTTTGAGAGTATCTGCCTAGGTCCTCCACCCATTTGACTGATCAGGAAACAGAGCTCCAGAGAGAAGTGACTTAGCCAAGAGCAGGGCCAATAGCAGAATACTGCAGCCCAGTGTTTTCACGCCACTGTTGGAGGCCCCGGGGACAGGGCAATCCAGAGGAGAGGACATTTGGGCAGGACATGGCTGGCAGTGAGGCCATGGTGAGATGCTAGGTCTTATTCTGCCGGACACTGCCATCAAATCATCACTTATCTTTTCCCTGCAACAACCCTGGGAGGTCAAGGTTGTTGTCCTCACGTTACAGGATAAGAAACAAGACTCAGAGAAGGCCAAAGTCAAATTGCTTCTTCGTGAAGAAGCAGAATTCAAATCTGGACCTGCCTATCTCCAAATCCTACATGTTTTCTATTAGATCTCTTGCACTGGGTTCTGTAGTGGCCCCCCAAAATTCACGCCTTTCCAGGAACCTCAGAATATAGCCTTGTTTGAAAATAAAGTATCTGCAGATATAATTAGCTAAGTTAAAATGAGGTCATTCTAGAAAGGAATGGCCCTAAATCCAATATGGCGGATGTCAATATAAGAAGAGGAAAGACAGAGGCGGACAGGAGATTGCCATGTGAAGGCACAGGCAGGGAAGAACACCACGTTGAGACGGAGGCAGAGACTCGAGTGATGCGTCTACAAGACAAGAAACATGCAGGATTGCCGGCAACTGCCCGAGCTAGAAGAGGCAAGGAAGGATTCTCCCCTAGAGCCTTCAGAGACAGTGTGGTCCTGCCAACACCTTGATTTCAGACTTCTAGCTTCCAGAACTGTGAGACAATACATTTCTATTGTTTTAAGCCACCCAGTTTGTGGTACTTTATCACAGCAGTCCTAACAAATTAATCTACCTCCTTCCCATGGTACAGAAGGAGGGTGACGTACAGGCACTGTAGATCCCAGTTGTGGTCCTGCCAAAATTTAGACTATCAGGACAAACCTAAGGCAGAGGAGGAGGACAAAGGACATGTGATGTTTGACATTTACTCTTTGCAGGGCTTTGTGCTTGGCACTTCACATATGGGATCTTGATGTAAGTACAGCCATTCCCATTTCACAGATGAGGAAACTGAGACTTAGAAAAGGGAAGTTATTTGCCCCTAAGCTCATTTTTTCCCTGCTCCTCGGTGCTATGCAAGAAGCAAACCTAGGCCGGGCGCGGTGGCTCAAGCTTGTAATCCCAGCACTTTGGGAGGCCGAGACGGGCGGATCACGAGGTCAGGAGGTCGAGACCATCCTGGCTAACACGGTGAAACCCCGTCTCTACTAAAAAATACAAAAAACTAGCCGGGCGAGGTGGTGGGCGCCTGTAGTCCCAGCTACTCCGGAGGCTGAGGCAGGAGAATGGCGTAAACCCGGGAGGCGGAGCTTGCAGTGAGCTGAGATCCGGCCACTGCACTCCAGCCTGGGCGACAGAGCCAGACTCCGTCTCAAAAAAAAAAAAAAAAAAAAAAAAAAAAAAAAAAAAAGAAGCAAACCTAGACTCTAGTTTGACTTCCAGGGAAGTAAGTTACTCACTTCCCTTCTCTCAGTCTCACTTTCCTCATCCAGAAAATGGGAATAATAGTTTCTGCTTCTCAGGTGGTTGTGATTTCTTCTCACATCCCTTCACTCAACAAATATTTACAGAAGGTCTCCTCTGTGTCAGCCTCTGCTCTAGGACCCAGAGACACAACAATGAATGAGATGTGCCCAGTTCTTGCTCCTAGGAGTCTGATTCTTTTGGGTAATGCCTGTCAGGTGCTTCACAGGGGCCAGCACTTAGTGAGTGCTTGGGGAACCTTATGGGGATAAGAATATAGGATTGAATGGGATGGTGTGCAGAATGGGCTTGGCCTGTAAGAGGAGCTCACTTTGGCATTCATTCTCTATGCTGCCAGTACAGTAGTGGTACAGCCTCCTGGACAAGGAAGGTACAAGGTCTTTGGGGCCTGGGCTCCATGTTCTTGGGCACCCAGCAGTCGCTGCTGTAAGCTGCCTCCCAGGGCCAGCAGAACTCTCTGCCCAGGCCTGGTCTGTGGTCTGTGCAGGCCGCGGAAGGGGCCTTGTGTCTTCTCATAGGGGCTGCATTGCTGCACTGTGCCCTCAGCCGAGCCTCCTCAGCTCAGCCCCACCCACTCCCTGACACCGTCCCTGCAGGGGCCAGGCCTGAGCCTGTCCTGGAGGCGCTCCCAGCTGTCCTGATATCCCCTCTGGCTTCTGCAGACACTCCCCCTTTCTGCCCTGGAGGCCTC